TAACTTTTTTTTATTAAGACATTTAAATACATTTGCTAATTTGTTCATATATTTGACACAATTGAACAATCCTTATTTATTTGCATACTCATAATTTAACATTTCTAATAACTTTATTTTATATACTGAAAATAGAAAACATAATTTTCATTTTTGAAGAAGAGGCATTCTTAATTCTAACATCTATTTTCTAAGGTTAAATTTTTTTTAAACTTTTCTTTATTTCTCAAATTTATATATTATTAAATAATTAATGCGATGATGATTATGTTGATGATCAGTAGGAGGACATAGAAATACTATTATTATTATTATTATTATGAATTATTTTATTAGGAACATTAATATGTTATATTTGCTAACTTATTTTTTGAATATGTAGAAGTGTTTCCATTTTTGTCGTTTCTTTTGTACTGTGTATTTTACTTGTAGTTCTATATAATCAATTATTTTCTATCATTTAGCATTGTTTTAACAACAATAAATTTTCTCTTATATATATATATATATATATATATATATATATATATTTGATTTTTTATACATCCAACATGTGAAAGCACATATAATAACCTGCTGCCACCCAGAGGAGGTGACGCAGTTTTGATGGCTAAGGCAGTACTGCCATCCCTAATGCCATCCAGCAGCTTTTACCACTGAACAGGTATTGCTTTTTTTTGTGTAGATGTGTCAGTCTCTTATGATTTTTTTTTCTTAAAACTGCAAGACTGATTTTCAACATTGTGTCAAAAGTGTGTGCTTTCGATCATTAACCTATACACAACTTGCTCATAGCGACCATTAAAAATGATGTAGAATCTTCCAAACAAATGTGTTTCACTTCTCCGGGCAGTGACGCTCAACTTAAAAAGTAAAGAAATGATTGAACATCCAAGGAATCCACAGAACCTGACCTCAATAGGAGGACATACTTTTTTGAATCGGACCACGCTACAATGTTAGGGCATATATCTGTCTGAATAATGTGTACCGGAAATTGCAGAGGCATTCTAAGATCAACTAACACCTTCCAATCATAGGCTCCACTCAGTAGCATCATGTAGAGAGTTATTTGGGACTTCTGCACAGGACATTCACCTTCCTTGTGAAAATGGATCTTAGATTCTCTGTCCGTAACAGGATGTTTGCTGGCTGCTTCATATTCTGTACTGACTAAGTCTATCACCACTTCCAACACTTTGTTATGATGCCACATGTTCATCAGTAGTGATTGTGGGCATGCAGAGAGCATGAGACATGAAGTGCCTTGATCACTTTGACATATATATATATATATATATTTATTAGGTACTGCCAAAATGGATGCATTTTTTTTTCAAAACAAAAATAATGATACAATTTTTAAAAACTTTACCAAAATTAAGGGAATTGTCCAATTTAAGTAAAATTTTTATAACTTATTCAGTAATGAATAAAGTTTATACTGAATAGGTTACTTCATTAGAAAATTTTGTAGAAATATTGGGGGAGGGGCCGGTTACCTTTACTTCTTATTTTGATACATTGTAAATACCTTTTAAAATTGTGGAGTTATGACAAATATTTTTTATAGTTTTACAAAAGAAAAATCTCTGAAGATATTTCAGTAAAATAATTATGCAATATCAAATCAGAAAATTTTGAAATATTTTTCCTGAAGCCCTACAAAAATAATTCAATAAAACTCAAAAAATAAATTTTCGTTGAGAGTTGGCACTTATATAATTTAATAAAACACTTCTTTTTTTTTTTCAAATTTGACAGGGAAAAAAAATCTACACTGAATATTTAATTTTGAAAACTTTACTTTTAATTTTTCAGTGTGATTCTGAAATTCTTCCAGTTGATGACAACAAAAGAAATCTTTTTTTTTTATTAAATAAAGATGCGTCTGAAGATTCAAAAATGTTTTTTGATTGTGATGCCATTTTCACATAAGAAATATTTTTAAAAGAATTTTATTTTATTATTATTACTTTCACAAATGTCAGATTATATTTTGGGGGTATGGAAGATCAAATTAGTAATGATTCAACTAATTCTGAATTACCTCACTATTAGATATATAAGGTTAAAAATAATAATATATGATGTCAGGAGAGGTCTAGAATATTTTATGACAATGGGAGCTGAAAGAAAGCAAAGTGAACACAATCAATTCAATAAATCTATCAGTTTATTTCTTTTTTTTCTTTTATAACAGCACTTTCTTTTGTTTAATAAATTTTCTCAAAATAATCAAAATAACCTGATTTGGTGCAGTGAAAGATTTTATGACATCAAATTGTTCAAAAATAAATAAGTACAGAATAAATGCCAAATATTGGGAAAAAAAAAGAATAACTGCGATAAAATTTATATTTTTATATTCCTATTAATATAAAAACATATTCTAAGTTTTATAAATATTCATGTTATTTGTACTAATTTCTGTAGTGTAGAATCTTTTCTCTTGAAATGTTCTCCAGCTATCATTACTTTATGAAACTAATTTAAATTTTTCTATTCCTACCAGTGAATTCTCTGCTCCAGGCCATCTTCTGCTTTAGCAAAAAGATTCTATACTATATATGCATAGTGTTTATATCTGGGAAAATCACATTAATAGTAGAATCAAGGACAGTTACTTCATTTAATTTCTTAGTGATGTCACAAATGACTTAGGACACATCTAAAGAACATGGTCTTGTAGCTAAATGAGTCTCTATTCCTCGAACGTTGTTCCTACAATACAAAATACCACTTCTTCAATCCGCTGTTCTTGAGTCCTGCACACTTCACCAACGTAAACCCATTCTGCCTTCTCACTGCTTTAGCCCTCTTTTATCAGGCCAACACCACGTCTGACTAACCAATTAGCATTCTTCACTTTTGTCCTTAATTACCCAGGAAAATGGCCTCCTTTGGTCCGACCAATCAGCACGTGACCTGCTATTGGTTAAACTGTGGAAAGCTGTACAAAAGCCGTGACAGCAAATGCTATTGGAACAGTCTAACACAAAGAGTGGAGATTAATACCATTTTCAAAGAACAAAATGCCAATGCTACGTGATGTGTTTTGAGGTAAGGAACTTATTTTCTTTTGCACCAGATACAAGCCACTCTGGCTCGCTTGCTTCTATGTGATTGTTCATCACAGGTCTTGAGAAATGTTACTATAGATTTAGCTTTACTCAACAAATCTAACACGAATCATTATTTCCAACCCTATTTAATGACTCCAATCAGCAAGGTTTTTAAATAAAACTCAATACAATTTTATGACATTAAATTAATCAAAGTTTTAATTAACTGGTAAAGGAAGCTCTTTTTCTTCATTCATGGTGTGTTCTGTCAGTTAATCTTGGCTAATAATGCTTGACTTATTTAATGTGAAAACATATTTATTATAAAAGAAATCTGTTTTAATGCAGTTTACTTGTAAGGCTTTAATCTGATAAATTGATTTTTTTTTCTTAAATCCAAAGACCTGACAACTCATTCAACTTTAAAAGTCCTAAATTTCATCACGATCTACTTTGTGCAACAAAACTTTACAATGAGAAAAACTCAAGCAAGCCCTACCCAAAAGATGTCAAGAACTAAAAAGAAAATAAAGTTCAATGCTTTGTGAAGTCATGAAAAAGTGTCCAGTATTGAAATAATATGTTTTGCTTTAATGATGTTTGGTATAAATATTGTGATTGATGCAAAATTTATGCTGTGGATCATGTGACTTCTAATGTAGAAGCAAAATTTTTGCCTGAAAATTTGGGTTTATCTTTGTAACCGTGAAAATTAGTTTACAAAAACAAAACAAAAACATGAAAAGAACATTTATTTCAGAACAAGTCAATGTAGCAGTTAAAGTTTTGCAAAAAAAAAGTTCCAGCAGAAACAGAAAGTGTTTACCTGTGTCTAAATCAAAACTAAATTGTCCTGCATTCAAATGAATTTAAAAAGAAAAATAAGAGAAATGTTGATAATGTTCAAAATTAAATTAACTCTAGTCATATAAAAAATTAAGGTTAATAATGTAAATTAAATTGACTAAATGTCTTAAAAATTTAAAATGTAATGAAAACTAAAATTCAAAATTCTGTGACAACATTTCTAAAAAGACAATTTACATTCATCGATAAATGCATTGTAAAAATGCTCCAAAGTGAGTTGTCAATGGTGTGCGTAAGTTTCATTGTGAGTTTTGGGTTTTACACATTTTACTTGCTCCAGTAACCCAACTTGTTTTAAAAGATAACAGGCCCTCAACTCAATTTAAAGATACAGAATTAAAATTTAGGGAAATTAATATTTAAACAATGAAAATAAAATTTCATATGGAATATTAATTCAAAGGAATATAAAATCAATATTATTAAAGGAATAACATGAATAAATGAAAGTGATACAAAAATGACATAAATATACACAATCAATATTTGTCTATATATCTGAGATGAGGTATTATAATTATTTACATTATTTGAACTGTTATTGTCATCTTCATTTCCATATTCACAACATTTTGGCCATTGTACACTCCTGTCTTCTCCAGATGACTGGAATTGTGAACCGAACACATGATTTGAAAATCTTAGAGAGTTAAAGGGAAATAACCGAGACATCCGAAAGAGGCATGGAACGTGGAGCTAGAACAATCTACCCCGGTGGACAAAATAAAGGGTTCGGTTTGAAATTCCAGTCACCTGAAGAAGGCTGGAGTGTAAAATAGCTGAAGCATTATGAATATGGCAATGAAGGTGAGGATAACAGTCCAAATAATGTAAATAATACACAATCAATTTGTAATAATTCAGAATGTAATTATGTATTTAATTATCAATTTAATTATGTAACAGTGGATAATATTTGATTAAAGTAATTATGAATAAATAATAAATGTTAATGAGTAATGAATAATGACAAAAATCAGATGCTCATCATGTGACAAATTAATATTTGGCAAAGTGAAAAGTTAAGAATAAATCTGATAGAAATGACACACATTATGAATGACTCACCAATGACTCTTTTTCTTAGTTGAGGCACAACAATAAAATGAACAGCAGCAGCAATAAGAAAGCCAGATCCAAAGGTTATAATAAATACACCGTAAAGTGGAATTTTATCAAAGCCAAGAACTGAAAAAAAATTTAAAGAAGATTCAATAAGATCTACTAATAATATTAAGCAATTTTTCCCCATCATCTTTTATTGAAAAAAAGAATGGAATCAATTATCAAACTTATAGTTTGAGAAACTTTTGTAATGAATGCCAGAAATTTGTGCTGCAGTAATCAAGGCTAAAGGAGGATATTTTGACGAGAGCAAAATTTGATCATGAAATGCTTTTTTTTTTTCTATCATAAAATCTCAGAAAAAATCATGTTGCTCTTGTTTTTAACTATGTATAATAATTTTATCTTATTTAAAGTACAAAACAACTACTTTTGGGGCCAATTTAAAAAATTAACAGTGGTTGCCTCAAACTTTTGAACTGTAGTTTTATATATATATATATATATATATATATATATATATATATATATAGACACAAATATAGGTAACTATACTAGTTTGAAAAACCTTCAATTTTTGTGCATTTGCCAATAATCAAATCAATCTCCAGGAAAAAAACCACTAAAAAAAAGAAAGAGCTAGAAACATGAAAGCCTGTTGAAAAAAAAAAGCGCACAGATACAGGTTTGAAGCCCAAAGAAAAAAAAATACCTATTGAGTAAACAACTAACTAACAAAAGAGCTCAATACAACGGTAGGTTGAATAAATCTTCCCCACCCCCGCCGGTGTTCTTGTGTTTTTCTTTATCTTTGGTCACATAGTATGATTTTGATTATCGCCTATAAATATGCTGTTTCTCTTTTGCCTCTTTAGCCAGCTTTCCCTGACGATCCGCTTAGGTGAAACCTGGGTAGGTTTGTCTGCCTTACTAGGTTTATCTATCTATTATATGTGTGTATATATATATATATGTATATACATATATATATATTGTAGTTTATATATATGTATATATATATTGTAGTTTATATATATATATATACATATATTCTACAACATATAAATATATATAATGTATATAAACACAATATATATATATATTGTAGTTTATATACATGTATACATATATTTATATATATTATAATTTATATGTATATATATATATATATATATATATATATATATAATTAAATGCCTATAGCTGATGTAGTATGACCGTCATAAAGAAAAAAGTAATGTGACAATTGTGCATATGACTTAATAGTGAATAAGATTTTAGATATTCATTATCAGAGGTTCTTTGAAATGTTAAACAAAATTACAAATCAGGAGTGAAAAGCATTTCATATTTTAACAATTAACTTTATATGGTTGCAATTTGATAAGATGCAATTTCAATCAGTTTTGTTCCTACATAAAAATGAATAAAGAAAACCCTATTCTTAATTTGAGAAAATGAAAGGAAACAACATAAATTGACACAAGTAAAGTAAATCTTATAATCTTATATGCAAAATTACGTATTATATGATGCCAAGGATCATATAAGAAAAAGAATTGATTCATTTTTGTCAGAATGATACTTACGCTCAGAGCCTTCAAAAAATATTGAGAAGAGATTTACAGCCACAGTGACAGCATAAAATGCTGGAAGGAACTTTAGTCCTGGCTCCAAAGGGTCAGGCTGAAAATAGAAACAAAGTGAATTAGAGAAATCTTAAGAGATTTCAAAAGAATTATACGTATATGAAATTTAATACTTCGATATGTTTATATGCTTGTAGAAATATTCCTATTCAAAACAGACCATTATGAGCTTAAAACAAAAGAAAATAAATTACAAGATAATTAACAACTAATAAAAAAAAGCTATGGAATTAAAAATAGATACTGTTGGCAGCTTTCTGAATTTAATTAGAAATGTGGATTAATCAAATACAATATGAAATAGTTAACAACTAATAAAAACTACTGTTTAATCTGATATCACATATGAACATGTTACTAAGCAGAAGAGGTACAATTTGAGTTTATGTTAAGAAAGCAGATAACAGAACATTTATGTATATTTTTATTGTTATTTCATAAAGAATCTAAGAAAAGAAAGGAAAATAGTGACAATGGAAGAAAATACAATGCTAAAAATATTTTGTTTTAAATTCTCATGAAGGTTCATTGCTATCATTTAATTTTTTTTTTGTTGGCTTTTTTGCTATTTTTATTTCAACAGGTCATTCTCTAATCTTCTTTGGTCATTTAAGAACATTTATTAGATGCTACAGTTACCTGAAGAGGGTTGGAGAACTGATAAGTAAAAATGTGTTAAGAACTATGAAAGCCTAAATGTCATTGAATAAAGATAAAAACTAATTTATTTTTATTTCTGCTTTTTCCATCACTTGTTTAGTTTACCATTCACTGTTGGTTAATAAATAAATTATAAATTCATTGTATTATAGTAAAATGTTTTAATTAAAAGACTATTTGAAAATAATCAATGGGTAATTTATGCACACAAAATTATTTTAAATTTATTCTTGTTAAGAAAAAGTTCCATGAAAACTGTTGTAACCTAGAAAGGGTTACTGAATGAGGAATAACTAAAACGAAGGTTGGAAATGAAATGATAATCTTTATAACATCAACATAATACAATACTCGCCAGCAGTGTGAAGTAGGTAAACCACTGCTGGTGGTGAACTACTGATTTGGTTTGTTTTGTTTTAAGGCATATCAACCTCAATGGGTCATTTAATGTCGACAACTTTTCTTCTTTTTTTTTTTCCTGGTAATATCTTTGTTTTGTCAAAAATCTATTTCTGTTAATTATTTTTTTTCCTCAAAAAATGTATAGCTGGTAATATTACTTTTTCAAAAACGTATATCTGGTAATATTATTTTTTTCAAAAACGTATAGCTGGTAATATTATTTTTTCAAAAACGTATTATCAGACGCCTTGCAGTTGGACGTAGTCTATCATCTTGCCCAGGACACGGATGTAGTTTATCGTCATACCCAGGACACGGTGAACTACTGAGTCAGCAGATTACCCCCACTTACAATAGTGTCCAATATATTTATGAGGATTGGGACATACCCATTAGTGTTCATAGTTATGGTATATAACAAAAATAAATCAAACTAATACTTACATCATTTAATATATATAATCTTATAAGCAAGAATATCCCCGTAGAAACGACACCTGAGAGAACCGGTGATATGAACCATGAACCAACTGGAAATAAAAAACAGGAATTCTGTTAAATATTTATCTGCAAAAATACATAAAACTATATATCTATAAACTAGAAGATATGTAATACTGGTCACTTAAAATAAAAGTGATATGCAAATAACTTATGGAATTATTTAAATTATTCGAACTATTGTCCTCATTTTTGTCGCCATATGAAATGTTATCTGACTAAGACTATCAAGAACAATGAAATTCATTAACTTATAGCAAATAACATTTCATATTTTAAAATAATTAAGTCAAGTTTATAAATGATACTCAACGTTAGTTTTAAAGAAAAAAAATGGCCTTTTTGTTGGAAAAGTTTATTCAAACCTTACGGTAGGAGTTTTAGCCTCTCTGGAAGATTTATCGAAGTATCTAAGTCTAACAAAGGAATTCTTTGCTATTTCATTCTTATTAAAACCTTTTGAGTTTGACAACAGGAGCAAGTTTTTTGCTGGGATTGCCTTGGCAGAAATGAAGCTGCAGAAAGAAATGTTTGCCAATGTCTACCCCGGTGAGCAAAATAAAGGGTTCAGTTCGACATTCCAACCACCTGAAGAAGGCCAGAGCGCACAACGGCCGAAATGTTGTGATAAATATGGCGACAAAGATGAGGACAATAGTCTGAATAATGTAAATAATGTACATAATACCTCATCTCAGAAATATAGACAAACTTATGGAATATTGATTATGCTAACATGAAAGAATGAATAAAAAAGAAACATAATAATAAAAATATCAGTGTCTATAATCAGAAGTCTATTTACCATATTAGAATTACAATTTAAATTATTATCTATTTATACCATGAGTGATTTATATAGATTAGATTATATGCTGACAAAATGTTAAATTATAATCAAGTTCAGAAAATCTAAGAATCTATTTTGCAATGGTTAGTAGCTTCACAAAAAGAATTATTGATAGTGAAGTCAGTCTTTATTAAGCGCTCTAAAAATGTGGCTTTGAGTAAGGATAAATTCTAATTAGTAACTATATGAAATACAAATTTAAAGTGAAATACTTTACAGCCAAAATACAAAATGGAGTGATATATTGGAATTGATGTATAAGCTTTCTTGAATTGATCTCAAAGACAATAACTATGTTGAGACATTTAAATTCTTACTTGTATAATATTAAACAGCTAATGTAAAATTATTGGCTTTGTAAAACATTTTCAAGGCGAGGAATACCAGGTTAACTTACTATCTTTACAGACAAGTTTAAAAAATTATGGCAGGCCTCATTTTTTTTCACATTCATTTTTGTACAAATAGTCTGTATGAGGATGTAAAATGGTGTATATTTTATTTTTGTAAGAAAACTTTCAGTCCAAGGGTAAGTTGTTAAAATATTAAGAAAAAGAGTTTTTGTTTATGCAAAAAGATCTGGAAAATTAAAATATTTTAATGTGTGTTATATATATATATATATATATATATATATATATATATATATATATAGTTTAAGAAAAACTAGGTAATCCATATGGGTAAACCCAAGGAGGATAAAATCCAGAGAGCTCAATGTAAATCCAGAGCAAATAATTTAAATAAAAACAGACCACTTTAAAGTTCCATGTAATAAATTATTTCACCACAGCCCTTTATATATATATATATATATATATATATATACATACACACACACACGTGGATGAGTGGTTGAAATGTTAGCATTCCAACCATAAGACCCAGTTTGATGCTATCTGTGGTTGATAGGAAGGTGCCTGAAAACCACACCACATGTTGACCCAAGCCTTTTGAATGCAACTGTTGGTAGCACTTATTGGTTGTGTGCTAAAACGAAGTCACATTTTGACTGAAGGTTTGGGCCTAGTAGCCTTATTCAAACTGGTTATCATGCCAGATTATATGTTCTCTCCCAGAAACTATAACTATGTTCAGCATCGTTGCAGTATAAAGCACAGGCTGGTTGTGGGTGTTGGAGAAAGATAAATGTGCCTGAGCAGGCGTCTGCAACAGGGATTAGTTATTCACCCCTGTAGACAAGTATACTTGGAAACAAGCAACCACCCATACATAAGTCTATCAACAACTATAACCTAATAATGAAAAAAGCACTTATTTTATACAACAAATATTTATTTTTCATCATAATTGGCAATGCACTTAATCTAATATCTATATATATATATCTCTGACATTATTTACATTATTCAGACTGTTATCCTTATCGACGATGCCATATTCACAGCGTTTTGACTCTTGTATGCTCCGGCCTTCTTCAGGTGATTGGAATTTCGAACCGAACCGTTTATTTCGTCCACCAGGGTAGATTGTTCTAGTTCCATGTGCCATGTCTCTTCCAGGTGTCTCAGCTCACCAAGTTTTTTGGTTCACTACTGCTTTAACCTGGTATTGAACTCACAACTCTTTGAGTCTCGTCATTTGATCTAACCAATGCCTTTTTCAATGCCATATTCGAAATATCAATCATCTGAAGAAGGACAGAGCGTACAACAGTTGAAACGTTGTGAATATGGCAATGAAGATGGGGATAACAGTTCAGATAATGTAAATAATGTAAATAAGCACTTAATTTAGCTGTAAATTATTAATCACATAGATGCAACATTATACAGTGAAAATTTCAGATTAAAGTTAAACTAATAATGACATGTCAGCTTGTGTAATTCATTTTCTTTTTGACATATTTATCAAAACTAAGAAACCAAAAAATAATGAGTCCTTGTGCACTAAACTTAGTTTCCTAAAACAAATATAATAATCCCAAATTTCTCCATAGCATCCTGTAGAGGCATGTTAAGAGGAATGACCATTGTGGATGTTTGTTAATGGCTGCATGAATAACATGCCCACACAATTTATATTAAACGTAAAATACCAAAAAAGCATGAAATACAAGAAGAAGGAACAAAAGGTTTTAAAACAAACATAACATTGTATTTATTCGTGTGTTGATGTACATGCATAGAAGTTAAATATCTGATGGCATTATGTCTTTTAGACTGGGAATATTTTTACCGGAGCTCACGAAGTTGGATTAATTATTAAACTGTAGTTTTAGAAGAATAAAGTTCTTGTTGCATGTTTGGAAATGTTCTGTATGTTTGTAATGTAGATTGGAGAAGTTCATAAGAGTTTGTATATACGTGAATGCATGAAATATTATTTAACGTCTGACCGTATGGTCGAGACGATAATTCTTTAGGACTACACTTTGCAGCAAGAAGAGAGAAAAAAAGAGAAAAGGCAAACTCATGTTTGCTATTTATAGATAATGTAATCACATGACAGGATCAAAAGAACTTGGCGGGAAACTTGACTTAGTCATGTGCTGTAAAAATATATTGTGCGTGGGTGGATTGCAACTCCCACTTGTGTGTTTATTGTCCAATTAGAAGCTGATATTTCCGGAAAATATTTACTAAGCTAAGAAGGCTCTTGGGATCCAATTCTCCCAAAAGTGCACGAAATCGACTACATGAAAATATAGCGTTTATAAAATTGTCGCATAGCTGCGATCTATAAATTGTCCATTACACAGTAGTGTTAATTTATTATCCAATGAATGCTTGTTGTATAATTTGAATTTGTGTAAGTATGTATGTATGTGTGTGATGATCATCATTACAATCCCTCTTCCTAAGTTGTAAAATGAAAATTTCAAATGTCTTTTGCACTTGAATTGATTTAATTATGATTGAACAGAAGTAAATTAACTCGTTAGGGAGGATTCATAAGTTTTCTTACTGGAATTAGTATAAATAGTTTTCATATGCTAAAAATGTATGACTTCCATAAAAGGTACAAGAAACATGAAATGAATAACATGGCCACTACTGGTAGAAAATATTTACCATTTGTATTAAAGGGGACTTCACTGCAATTATTTTCTTCTTCATTTTATGTGTATGTAAATATTTATATACATTTACACAAATAAGGTTGTTATAGAATAGGGAAGGCTTCCCAAATGTCTTGGTACCATGGCATTTATTTGTAAATTCTGAAATTATCAATCATTATGGAGATGAAAAACAAAGGCTAAGATGTCGACTCGTTTTCTCTATGGATAACAAATGTGCAAGAAGTAATAAGTAATAAATATCTGATAGTCACATTCCATTATTACAGATAACAGAAACTTGAAGCTTGCACTTACAAAATATACTTAAAAGAAGGAGATTTAATGCTCCTAGCCTGAGCCCCTTACTAAAATCTGATAAACCACTCTCTTGAGTGGTTTGTAACACATTTTTATCATCTCTCAGTTGTGTCTCTGTCTTTGGGCAGAGTGCTCTCAAGGGCGACTCTGTCAAATGACAGAGTTGCAACTGAGGAAAATTATACTGAGAGGTGCCTAGCCCTGGGGACCAGCTGCCTGAGGCTACGCCATCTCATTGCACCAGAGAGAGTTATCGATGCTTGCACTGAGGCCAGTGCAACTGTGTGTTGCAGGGGCTACAGGCAAGTTTTGTTCCTAGCCCAGGTGTATATGCTCAGGTCCCCACCTTAAAATCTGACCCTGTGTCACAACTCGTCTTAGTGGGGGAGACAGAGTAAATACATACTAAAATCAGATCAATTGTCCAAACATCGCAATTTCTTTTCAGCAAAATTTCCCAGTCAGACATAGAATTTTTCAACTCCTTTCATAAATACTTCATTGAGATCTTAAAATGAAGTAATTCATTGTATACAGATTTTTTTTTAGAAATACAATAAGGATATTTTAAAATGTCATAAAAATTCATTTTTTTAAAAAAAAAAAAAGAAAAAAAAGAAAATATGTTAATAGAAATGTATTTTTTAAAAATGAAACAAGAAAAAACTTACTGATCATCCCTAATTTTGACCATCTTACACCATTGGAACCATGAGCAACTAATGCAAAACCTAAAGTGGCACCTACTATACTATGGGTAGCAGATACAGGTAATCGTAGGAATGTAGCCAAAAGAAGCCATACACAGGAGCCTGGTTTAAGAAAAATATATATATGTATATTATTTCAAGAGTAATTAGCATTTTATAGTCATTCACAAAAGTAATGTTATTAGGATTAAAACATTAATGATTTGATAATGACATTATTTAGTAAGTTGAATTTTAAATAATTTAACAACATATTAAATGTAATTTTGTGTTAAAGGTCCTGGGCAACCAAATTGTTCAGATTGTCAGTTAAAATCCTACAAACTGTAGATGTTTAAACTTATATATTAAATTAAATATTTTCCCAGCTATGAGATAAATGATATGGCAGGCTAGGTTCTCCAGCAGATAGTCAAGGAGAAGGGCAATTTTGAATTTAAAATCCAGTCGGATAGATGAAACTCTTGTTCATTTATGGATTTTATAGGGAAACAATTTTCAAAATGCATTTTTTTTTGTCTGACACACACACATGTCAATAAGAAGGGTTGGAATGCTAACCATGTCAGATTTTTTTTTTTTTTTTTGGCAATGTCGAGGTGCATAGCATGACACTTTCGAGGAGGCAGCCTGACTTGTCCAGAGTCAGGTTATGGGGATTAATTTTCAGCTCATATTTGCAAAACCAAAGATCAGTGATGAGGATAGTGTATCAGTGAAAACCACACCCTTGATACATCTAAAATGTATTATGCAACTATGTGGTTCAGCAATGAGTCTTAATAGGTCATGAAACTCATGCTTTAAATTTGAAAATACATTAAATATTAAAAAAATAAATCTTATTTGATTGATTTACATTTGTTTATAAGATTTACTGTTAAAATTAAGAATCCTTCAATGCACAAACATTGAACTTTTGTAATCTTTTTTTCAAATATTTTTTAAATTTATTGAAATAATATTTAAAATTTTGACATTTTAATTCCGTTAAGATGCTATTTTTCCTGGGATTTCCTAAAAACCAATTTACTTAATAAAATTTTTTGATATATTATTCTTGAAAAATACTCTTTTTATAAATAAATTCATTCATAAATGAATAACAAAAAAATCTATTATAAAATTAAAACTTTTTAAATTAAGTCTTTTAATTAAGACATTTTATTAAAAGAGAAAAAGCATGAATGATATTTTCCAGGCAATAATTCAAACTCATTCTTAACTGATTTCTTTCTTTTGTGGCTGGACATTTGGCCGAGAGACATTTCATTGAAAGAGTACAAGTAAAAATAGTAATGATAAGTATTTTAATTAGTAGTTTAATAAAGTTTTAGATTTTTTTCCTTAAAAATTACCAGTGAATTTTTTGTGATTAAAAATTACTAAATCTAAATTTAAAGTTAAAAGCTTTCTTATTTCAATATTTGTTTATTCTTAGTATTTTTTAAAAATATTTGAATGTATTTGGATAAAAATAGAACCTAATTATTTAAATTCATATTTAACAGTAAGATAAAATATAGTTCATTCCTTTAAATTAATGATCATTAAAAATATAATTTGAAATATTTTTCATCATAATAAAATTTCTTAAGATTTTTGCTGTAGTAAAATGTACTTTTTTCTCAAAATACTTATCATTTTACAGTAATATTTGAAAATAATATATTTATATACAGAATAAATTTTAAAAAAAAAAACCCAAAAAAAAAAAAAAAAATTAAAAATAATACAGTAAATAAATAGAAAAATATGTAGCATATTACTTAAAGAGTTATACAAAAAATATTCTTTATAAATTTTCGATTAAATGTCCCTCAGCCAAATATCAGATGCCTTTTTTATATCATTAAAATAAATAATTATTTAAAATTGGTCACCACCACATTTCCCATCATCAGTATTTCCTCTGTTTTTTTTATGGTTGTACATCTATAGATACACTTTTGTGATGTAAAAGAATTTTTTGTACCTTTGAAAAAATATAACAAAAAACTGTATTAACAAATTAAAAAAAATCAATAGGATTTAAAAATTTTTCAGACTCCAGGTTTATTTAATGTCTATACATTTATAAAATATATACATTATAAAATCAAAATTTATAGGTATATATACATATAAAATTTTTATACATTTAAATATATATATATATTGATATTATATTTTTTTCATTTTTATTTTTATATCATATATATATATATATTCATTTATAGGTATATATATATATTGATATGGAACAATATATAAACATAACATTTAAAACACAATTTTATTCTCCTATATAGTTTATTTAAAAAAATAGGCATATATAAAAATATATATTTAAAAAGAACATTTCTTTATTTTGAATGATTTTTTTTTGACAATGTATATATTATATATATTTATATATATATATATATATATATATATATAATATATAAAATATATAAATATTACATGTAAATATATACATTTTATATAAAAATTTCCATATATACATATAATCATTTATATAGAATACATATATATATAAATTTAAATGAATATAGGGTTTATATATATAAAAATATATAAATAAATGTTTATATATATAAATGTATATATATAAATATATATATTTTATTTCCTATAAAAAAAATATAAACACTTAATCTATATTTTTATATTTTTAAATATAAATTTATCTATATAATATATCTGTTTCAATGTTTATAAAGTTTATTTGAAATATAAAATAAAATGTTTGTATATAATTAAAATCTTAATTTTTTTATTGAATGTTTTTTTTTTATAATATTTAAATGAGATTAAAATTTAATATGTTTTTTAATTAAAAATTTTTAATAAATAAAATCAATTTTTTGTCGAGTTTTTAAATTTACGAAAGTTAATTATTTTAAAAATATATAATTTTATATTCATTTTCAGAAAATTGAATATTTAAATTTATTGTAAAATTTGAATAATTAATAGTTTATATATGGAAAACTAAAAACATGTTAAATTATTAAATCATATGGATTTTTTAAAATAAAAAATTTTAAAAAAAAAAAATAAACAAATATTCCTGAAGTTTTTGTTTTATTTTAAATTAATGTCATTTAACATTCTTCTAATTATATAAAAATAATTATATACATATAAATGATATATAATTTAATATTTGTATAATATACATTAAATGTATATATAGGTCTATATATATACATTTAAATTTATATAAATAGAATTTATGTATATATAAATATAAATATAAACAAATATATGGATAAACATTTTTTTTTGAAATCAATAAATTGAAAAAAATAAAAAAAAAATTTATATGCATTTATTTAATGTTTGATAATATTAATAACAAGAGTGAATATTATTATATTTATATAATTAAATTATCAATTATATTTATAATAAGATAATTATATTAATTATTTTAAAAATAGAAAATAAAAATTTCAATTTACATTTTTTTCTAATGAACCTAAAATTTTTTAATGAAAATAATTTCAAAATTCAAGTTTTATTGATTATTAAAAACAATTGATCATTTTTTTCACTTTTTTAAATTTATAATAAAAATTTTCCAAAATTGTTTTCCTATTGAATGAAATGTTTATTTAATTTGATTTTTTGCCAACTAAAATTTTTAAATAACATGAGAAATATTTGATGATATAATATTTTATCCAATATATTTTTTTAATTTATATTATTTGAATTCTATTTATTTAGAACTTTTTATTAAAATTTTTTTGCATAAAGTTTAAAAATTTTTTTTTTTAATATTTTGGTTTCTAAATTCATATATATTTTATAAAAAATATATATATATATGAATTTTAGAATATTTATATTTTAAATCTAAATTGTTTCATCAACATAAAAACTAATTTTAAATTTTTTTTTCCTGAATGAATTTGAAAAAATATCATTTGATAATTTCATAACAAAATTTAATTTAAAATTTTATTAATTTATGAATTTTTTCATCTTTTAATAAAATTGACATGCCAGAACTTGACATTTTTTTACTTTTCAAAAATTAAAATTTGTTTTTAAAATTTTTTTTTGTATATATGTTTTAAGATAATAAATTTTTAACTTTTAATTCATACTAACAAAACTAAAAGAATTATAAATTTTTATTTAAAAATTTTATTTTTGATTTTTTTGAAAAATGGATGTATATTTTGACTGTTTTTTTAAATTTGTTTTAAAATATTTTTTTTATTCATTTTTTTTAAACTTATTTGAAAAAAATAAAAATTTGTTTTATAATAAATTACAGTTTTAAATTTTATTTTCTGCAAATAATTTTTTTCTTTTTTCCCTTTTTTAAAAAACTCAAAATTTATTTAAAATTTTGTTTTGGCAAACCTTTTATTCAAATTTATTTTTTATTTATTTTTAAAAAGTTCCTTTATAAAAATTTGAAAAAAATTACATTTTTCATTACAAAATTTCCTATTTTTTACAAATTTTTTGATTTTTATTTTCCTCCAATTTTTCAAAATTTTTAAAATTTCAAATAAAGAAGGTTTTTCTTCATGTCTTTGTCAATATATAGATATTGTAAAATTATTTTGAAAAATTTAAAATGATTACAAAAAATGATGAATATCAATCATTGGATGCATTTAAATACCCATCATTAAATACTGGAAATTTACCATCGGTATGACATTTTTTAATCAAAAAATTTTCAATAATAAATTTTCATATATTAGAAACTTTATAAAATATTTTACAATGCAATTTCTAAAAAAATTGAATTCATAGATTATAAAATAAAAATTTGATTTTTTATATAAATAAAATTTAAAATATATATATATATTAAATTTTTTTATATAAATAAATATATCAGGTCATCCCATAAGTTCTGTCCGAATTTTACCTTTTTTTAAAATGAACAAAATTTAAAGAGTATTTTATAATGTCTAATGGAGCTGAACATTATTTTTATGTTTAGATGCATTTAAA